TAACAATGATGATTGAAAAAGAAATGTCCCCATATCAAAAACAATATACTCAGATCACAACATAATTGAGGTTCAGACATGTATGCACGGAGCCCCAGACCGACAAAATGATAATTAGTCACGAGGGAGCATTCAGCAAATTCAACTTCAATAACAAAAACATAAAGTGGGACCAAGTAAACCAAGTCCTAACCGATATAAGCTGGGAAGAATACTAAGCAACACAGACCCCCAACTTATGCCTAGAACAGATTAACTCGGTGGCACTCGATGTATGCACAAGGCTTATTCCTCTAAGAAAAAGGAGGAGTAGATGTAAAATAGAAGGAGACGGGCCCGCACCCTTTACAGGCGAGGAAAAAGAATAACAGAGCGGCTAAAAGAGGTCAATATATCTGAAATGCGTAGGGAGACACTGGTCAGAGAAATAGCAAGCATCGAACTTAAGCTAAAAGAATCCTTTAGGGTCAGGAATCGCGGGAAGAACTAAAAGCCATAAATGAAATCGAAAGAAACCCAAAGTATTTCTTCTCCTATCCCAAATCAAAATCGAGAACAACGTCCAGTATTGGGCCCCTACTTAAACAAGATGGGTCCTACACAGATGACAGAAAGGAAAATGAGTGAGCTACTCAAGCCCAATATGACTCAGTTTTTAGCAAGCCGCTAACCAGACTGAGAGTCGAAGATCAAAATTTAAATTTTTATGAGAGAGCCACATAATTTGTTAACACAAGCCTATCCGATGTTATCCTGACCCCAAAATGACTTGGAACAGGCGATAAATGACATCCCCATGCACTCTGCCCCGGGGCCAGACTCATGGAACTCTGTGTTCATCAAGAACTGCAAGAAGCCCCTATCACGAGCCTTTTCCATCCTATGGAGAGGGAGCATGGACACGGGGGTCGTCCCCCCAGTTACTAAACACAACAGACATAGCCCCACTCCACAAAGGGGGCAGTAAAAGCAACAGCAAAGAACTACAGACCAATAGCACTAACACCCCATATCATAAAAATCTTTGAAAGGGTCATAAGAAGCAAGTCACCACCCATTAAAAACCCCATCATTTTACACAACCCAGGGCAACAGGGGTTTTTAGAACAGGTCGCTCCTGTCTGTCTCAACTATTGGATCACTACGACAAAGTCCTAAATGCACTAAAAGATAAAAAAAATGCAGATGTAATTATACAGACTTTGCAAAGCCTTCAAACAAGTGTGACCATGGCGTAATAGCGCACAAAGCGTGCTAAAGGAATAACAGGAAAAGTTGGTCGATGGATCTATAATTTTCCTCACTAACAGAACACAGAGAGTAGTAGTCAACAGAGTAATGTGCGAGGCAGCTACGGTGAAAAGCTCTGTTCCAAAAGGCACAGTACTCGCCCCCATCTTGTTCCTCATCCTCATACCCGACATAGACAAGGATGCCCAGCCACAGCACCGTGTCTTCCTTTGCAGATGACACCCGAATCTGCATGAAGTGTCTTCCATTGCAGACACTGCAAGCTCCAGGCGGACATCAACCAAATCTTTCAGTGGGCTGCAGAAAACAATATGAAGTTCAACGATGAGAAATTTCAATTACTCAGATATGGTAAAACATGAGGAAAAATTAAATCTTCATCAGAGTACAAAACAAATTTGGCCACAAAATAGAGCGAAACACCAACGTCAAAGACCTGGGAGTGATCATGTCGGGGGAAATCTCACCTTCAAGGACCAATAACATTGTATAAATCGCATCTGCTAAAAAAATGACAGGATGGATAATGAGAACCTTCAAAACTAGGGGGGCCCAAGCCCATGATGACACTCTTCAGGTCACTTGTTCTATCTAGGCTGGAATATTGCTGCACACTAACAGCACCTTTCAAGGTAGGTGAAATTGCCGCCCTAGAAAATGTACAGAGAACTTTCACGGCGCGCATAACGGAGATAAAACACCTCAATTATTGGGAGCGCTTGAGTTTCCTAAACCTGTATTCCCTGGAACGCAGGAGGGAGAGATACATGATTATATACACCTGGAAAATCCTAGAGGGACTAGTACCGAACTTGCACACGAAATCACTCACTACGAAAGCAAAAGCTTTGGAAAGACGATGCACCATCCCCCCAATGAAAAGCAGGGGTGTCACTAGCACGTTAAGAGACCATACAATAAGTGTCAGGGGCCCGAGACTGTTAAACTGCCTCCCAGCACACATAAGGGGGATTACCAACAGACCCCTGGCAGTCTTCAAGTTGGCACTGGACAAGCACCTAAAGTCAGTTCTGGATCAGCCGGGCTGTGGCTCGTACGTTGGTTTGCGTGCAGCCAGCAGCTACAGCCTGGTTGATCAGGCTCTGATCCACCAGGAGGCCTGGTCACAGACCGGGCCGCGGGGGCGTTGACCCCCGGAACTCTCTCCAGGTAAACTCCAGGTAATATATCATTGCTTAGTTAATCTTAGTTAATCACAGACACTAGAGGAGATATAAAAAAGACCTGGAAAACACTCTCTCAGATTCTAGGGACCCACAAACTGAGAAAACCAAGAATATTGTCCTAACTAAACCTAATGAAACACCACTACTTTCCCACTGACACAGGCTAACAAGATAAACGACTTCTTCTCAAAATAGGATCAAATCTCGCCAGTAAAATCCCACATACCAATGCCCATGCCGGGGACTACCTAGATGGTAATTTCCCAAATTTTCCTTCTATCTTGCACCAACTGAGCCCAAACGGAAGTCATTGGGATCATAAAGTCACTTAAAATAACTCGGGGAATTGTCTCATGTCCCACCATTACTGTACAAGCGAGCGGCCCATGTCCTTTCGCAGGCTATTTCTTTTACTTTTTAAACAAGTCAATAGAGACAGCACCTTCCCGAAACTACTCAAGATGGCAAGGGTTACACCAATACATAAAAGGGGGTGACCCTACAGACTTAAACAACTATAGACCAATATTAACTTACCATTGCTATCCAAATTTTGAGAAACTCGTGTACAAGAGACTGTATTCATCTATAACGGCTCAAAACATACTCAACCCCTGCCAGTTTGGATTCAGGAAAAATAAAAGCACTAATGATGCAATCATAAAATGCTAGATCTGCTTTACACAGCATTGGAAAATAAGGAAAAATTTCCCCTAGGAATTTTTTTGACTAAGAAAAACTTTTGACACAGTAGACCACGACATCCCACTCCACAAAAATTGACCACTACGGTATAAGAGGCCATGCGCTTGCTTATTTCAAATCTTACATTACTAATAGGTATCAGTACGTCACCATTAAAGACACAGCATCAGCAACACGGCCACTTGATACTGGAGTTCCGCAGGGAAGTGTCCTTGGTCCCCTGCTCTTCCTCATATACATCAATGACCTTCCAAACGTATCTCAACACCTGAAACCCCTTCTCTTTGCTGATGACACGACTTATGTCATCTCTCACCCTAATCTTGCCACCCTCAACACCATTATGAATGAGGAGCTGATTAAAATATCGACTTGGATGACAGCCAATAAACATACGCTTAACACTGACAAAACTTACTATATTATGTTTTGGTAGCAGAGCAGGAGATGCACAAATTAACATTAAGATTGACAACACTCTAATTACCAAAATAATGGGGGAAAATTCCTAGGCTTATACCCTTTACAAAACCTGAATTTCAGCACCCATTATCCAGCATATAGCCAAAAAAGTATCCAAAACGGTTGGGATCCTCTCCAAGAACGATACTACGTGCCTCAAAATGCCCTTCTCACACTATACCACTCACTATTTATCCATACCTCACCTATGCTATTTGTGCTTGGGGATCAACTGCAGCAACACACCTAAAGCCAATAATAACCCAACAAAAGCTGCAGTAAGAAATAATCATAAATCCCATCCCTGGCAGCACCCCCCCCACTCTTCAAAGATCTAAACTTACTCCAGTTCAGTACATCCACACTTACTACTGTGCAATCTATATCTACAGGGCCTTAAACTCTAATATCAACCTTGACCTAAAACGCTTTCTTGATAGTTGTGACAGAACCCACAGGCATAACACCAGACACAAACATCTCTACGACATTCCCCGTGTCCGACTAAACCTTTACATAAATTCAATGTATGTCAAAGGCCCTAAATCTGGAATACCCTACCTGAGAACTCTAGAACTGCAGACACATTCATCACCTTCAAAACTACCATTAGAAAACATCTTATCTCCCCCAACACCCCGTCAACTAACTACACGAATACCACCCGGTGGTTCACACTTACACTCGCTCACATTTGACCATAAAAAGAAATATTAATCTCAGTCTTAAAATAATGAATTCTGTGATACTCCAATAAATGAAAATATATACTGTGGGCCCAAAAAAAAAGCTTTACATTGCTAAACTCATTTAAAATAGTATTTAGTCACTTAGCCCTAATACCAACTTACCTCATAATTTGTAATATTTTACAATTAAGAATAAAACTAAGTATGCCCGAAATGCCTAGCCATGCTAAGCGTTCTAGTGGTACACTCTGTAATCACAATTTTACTACATGTAAACCAAACAATAACCAAATTTCTGTAAACTCAGCATTGTAATCCTTATAGAGAATAAACTTTGAATTTGAATTTGAATTAAGTTAAATTAATTTTAAGCCTGCCCATAATTCTCTGCATACTAGGGGCTTTGGCATACTGCACTGTAATAACTGTATTCCTTTGTACTTCACTGTATCATGTTCAAATTATTAAATAAATAAGTAAATAAATAAATAAATAAATAAATAAATAAATAAATAAATAAATAAATAAAATAAATTTGGACAGCACATTTCGGACTCCCGGGAAGAAGGATTCAATAAGGCGTCAACTTTGGTGGCTCTTAACATCCCAAAACCAACGCTTGTTACAGCAAATACTGCCGTCGGCGGCCCATACTGTCCCAACAAGAAGTACAACAGCAAATGTTAAGTAAGTTTTTATTAAGGTTGCAACCCCTCAAAATAAGCTTGTTAAGGTAACTCCCTCAAGGTAAATTTATTAAGGTAACTCCCTCAAGGTAAATTTATTAAGGTAACTCCCTCAAAGTAAGCTCTTATGAAGGGTTTAACCCTCAAAGTTACTCCCTCTCCACTGCCTCACTGCACTCCATGACCTAATAATCATCCCTCTCCCTCTTGCTACCCATTACCACTGCATCTTTCCCTGCCCAGCGGCACTGTATAACCCTTGTAGGTTTAGCGCTTCTTTTTTATTATAATGCAGACTCCCTCGAGGGAGGTGCCTTGATGCAGACGAGGGGCTCTTGATCCAAGGAAATGGATCTGGCCTTCTCTTGGATCGAATCAGACTGCCCTCTAGTTCCAGTGAGCTGTGTAACCTCTTGAAAATTTTGTTGGGATTATTAACCCTGAGGGTTAAGTAACTCAGGATATCTCAGTAAAGCCATGCTATGCCATCAAACTATTGGACCTATTTCCTTTGAAGTTCTTTGATCGTTTACCTAATGATGCTACCCACACCAGTCGCCTAGCACCCAGCGAAGAGGCGGGGCCAGGAGCTATATATAGACCCTTTAATCATGCATAGTCAAGTATGCAGATACCTACTTATTGTTAGGTCAACAGGGGCAGCAGGTGTAAAGTGACTTAACACTCGGGCACCTAGTTACTGTTAGGTCAACAGGGGCAGCAGGTGTAAGGTGACTTAACACTCGGGCACCTACTTACTGTTAGGTCAACAGGGGCAGCAGGTGTAAGGAAACTTGTGCTGGGGATTGAGCCTTGTTCCCTCAGTGTGTGATGCTATGCCATCAAACTATTGGACCTATTTCCTTTGAAGTTCTTTGATCGTTTACCTAATGATGCTACCCACACCAGTCGCCTAGCACCCAGCGAAGAGGCGGGGCCAGGAGCTATATATAGACCCTTTAATCATGCATAGTCAAGTATGCAGATACCTACTTATTGTTAGGTCAACAGGGGCAGCAGGTGTAAAGTGACTTAACACTCGGGCACCTAGTTACTGTTAGGTCAACAGGGGCAGCAGGTGTAAGGTGACTTAACACTCGGGCACCTACTTACTGTTAGGTCAACAGGGGCAGCAGGTGTAAGGAAACTTGTGCTGGGGATTGAGCCTTGTTCCCTCAGTGTGTGAACCAAGACTGCTACCAATTGAATGCTTCCCCATAACTACCATATAATAATCATTACACAAGATTAGTTTTTTACAGTTGCCTTATATATAAATTTGCATAGGATAATCTGATAGTCAAATACTGTGACATATTACCATACACCTCACACACACAACTCTACACATGAATGTGTAGAACTCTAACTTTTTCTGTGAAAATCACATGCCAGCTCAAAATGCACTGGCATGACAGTGGCTTTCTTTGTATTTAACTAATCAAAGTTGTAAATACACATTGTGACTTTGCAAAGAAATAAAAGCTTTATATTTTTTTTAGCATGTTCCATGTGATAAAATGTTTTAATAATATAATGTTATCTTTATTTACTACAAGTACATGCACAAGGTATACAGACCATAGCTGATATCAGTGACATTACTATATAGAAAGCCGCTTGTTATGCAGAGCATTTCGGGCAAATTTGGTCAGTTTTGTTTCAGGATGCGACCCACACCAGTTGACTAACACCCAGGTACCAATTTTGAACTGATGGGTGAACAGGGACAGGGACAGCAGGTATCTTATGGAAACATGTCCCTAATGTTTTTCAGCCATACCGGAGGAGATTCAAACTCCAGACCACAGTGTGTGAGCTGAGTGTGCTAGTGATCGAGCTTGAAAGTGAAGTTCCTTAACCCTTTCAGGGTCCGTCCCGTAGATCTACGGCTTTACGTTCGGGGTCCAAACCGTAGATCTACGTCATGAGCTCAGCTCACTCTGATAAACTGTGAGTAGTAAATTTGGGCCTAGATATGAGAGAATACATCTATGTGGTATGTGTGCACCACATAAAACAAATCCTGCAGCACACTGTGTATAATGAGAGAAAAAAAACTGAGACCGTGATTTTCGATTAAAACAGCGTTTTTTGGTATGTTTTTATAGTTGTATTTGTGATTTCTTGGTCTCATTTGATAGAATGGAAGACATATTACAGAAATAGAGATAATTTTGATTGGTTTTAGCACTGGAAATGGCTTGAAACTGAGCTCAAAGTGGCGGAAATGTTAAATTTTTGCCGATGTTCAAGAGTAAACAAACGACCTCACACGTCTAATACACGCCAGCTGGTGGGTCTAATATGCATTCACAAATGTGGTGATGATATTTATACAATTATTACAATATTGCATAACAGTAAATCTTCTATTTTTTTTGTGTGAATAAAAATTCATTATGTGAATAAAAAATCAAAATGGAATTTATTTGTAAAGCCTCAAAACATAATTAATGAACAGAGGAAATGTTAGTTTAGTGCCAGGAATACCTACATTGTATATTCTGGACCCCATTTTGAAATTGGAATATTTTGAACTTTGTGAAGTTAAATTGGCCAAATTACCAATTTCCGGTCACTTTATTTTGTAGTTGAAACAGTTGACTTGGTGATTTCTTGTGCTCAATCGATAGAGTAGAAGTAATGCTAGTGAAATAGCTAAGAATTTGGTCGACTGGAACAATGTAATTGGCCTAAAATGGGAGTCAAAGTCGGCAAAATCGCCGATTCGTAAAGATCGCTGACACATCAAAATTCACGAGAGCATAATTTCGTCAATTTTCCATCAAATTTCATACTTTTTGTTTTATTACATTCACAAAAAGATTCTCTACCATTTCATAAGAAAAAATAACAATTTTTTTTTTTTTTTAAATTCTTGGACACTGGGGCACCACTTCAGATTTTGGCCTTGGACCCTGAAAGGGTTAATGCTAGTTAAGGGCTTTTGATCCATGGAATTAAACCTACTCCCCCCTTCCATAGTTTATATTGTTTGTTTATCTCTGTTATTTACAGTTTTGTCTAGATTGACACAAGTACAGAATATGTATGATGTATGTATAATTATCATTAAAATTTCCAGCAATATGTTGGGTAAAAGGACACAGGAGCAACTAATGAGACATTTATTATGGCTGTATTTCACTTTACAGGAGCTTTATCAAGCTAATACAAGCGATAGTTATGCCAGTGTATTGGTATCTGTATCAGTGGGTATCAGCTAGTTATAATTGTATCAGTATCTGCCTCAAACTGAGTATCAATATCTGTATTAGCATAAATTATGGCATCATCCCATCACTAATTCAAACAATATAATGGCACAGAAGGTATAGAGGGAACATGGTGAGATGCAAAAAGTAAGAACAGCACTGCAGTAGGCCTACTGGCCCCTGATCATAGTAGTAGAAGTAACTTGTTATCAGGCGATTGCATGGTTTACTAGCAAAATTCCAGAAATAATAAATTATGTAGAACAGGATGATAATAAACTATGCACTTCTATGGTAACTAGTGACATGGTCCTCAGACAAATGGAGAAATTAAAACCAAACAAATCCCCAGGCCCTGATGAGCTGTTTGTAAGGGTCTTAAAGGAATGTAAAGAGGAGCTTTACAAACCTTTGGCTAGTCTTTTTAAACATATTACTACAAACTGGCATAAAGCCAGACAAGTGGAAAATAGCAAATGTAATACCCTCCGGGTCACCATCTGGAGAAGACCCGGGCCGGAAGTACCGGCAAATCATTAATGAATGTAATACCAACTTACAAAGCAGGAGACAGGTCCTTAGCTTTGAACTATAGACCAAGAAGCCTTACCTCCATAGTGGGAAAATTTATGGAATCAATAATTGCCAAGGCAATTCATAGCCATCGTGAAAGGCATAAATTGATTAATGAATCTCAGCATGGGTTTACTAACTTTTTTTCACCGCGGTATTTGAAGAGGTAGATCATGGTAATGAATATGATATTTTGTATATGGACTTCAGTAAGACTTTTGCTAGAGTTCCACATCAGAGGCTATTGAGGAAAATTAAGGCACACTGAATAGGAGAAATTTTTTCCTGGGTAGAGGCATGGTTGTCAGATAGGCAGCAGAGAGTTTGCATTAATGGAGAGAAATCAGAGTGGGGGTGCATCATGAGTGGTGTTCCACAGGGATCAGTGTTGGGCCCTTTGTTCACAGTTTATATAAATGGCATTGATGAGGGAATAAATAAGCAAGTTTGCTGATTACACCAAAATAGGTCGCCTAATTCATTCTAATAAGGACATGAGAGCACTCCAGGAATATTTGAATTAACTGATGCAGTGGTCGGAGAAGTGGCAGATGCAGTTTAATAGTATAGACAAATGCAAAGTTCTAAATGTTGGACAAGAAAATAACCATGCCACATATAAACTAAATAATGTAGATCTTAATATTACTGATTGTGAAAAGGATTTGGGAGTTCTGGTTAGTAGTAATCTAAAACCAAGACAACGATGCATAAGTGTTCGCAAAAAAGCGAACAGAACCCTTGGCTTCATATCAAGAAGCATAAATAACAAGGAGTCCTCAGGTTGATCTTCATCTCTATATATCTTCGGTTAGGCCTCATTTAGATTATGCTGCACAGTTTTGGTCACTATTACAGAATGGATATAAATGCACTGGAAAACATACAAAGGAGGATGACAATGTTGATCCCATGTATCAGAAATCTTCTTTACAAGGATAGACTTAAGGCCCTGAATCTGCACTCTTTAGAAAGGCATAGAATTAGAGGGGATATGATTGAGGTCTATAAATGGAAAATAGGAATAAATAAAGGGAATGTAAATAGCATGCTAAAAATATCTAGCCAAGACAGGACTCACAGCAATGGTTTTAAGTTGGAAAAATTCAGATTCAGGAAGGATATAGGAAAGCACTGTTTTGGTAATAGAGTTGTGGATGAGTGGCCCCTCAAGGAAGGTTCCTTGATGTTGGTGAGGGGCTCTTGATTTAGGGAATTGGATCTGTGCTCCAGTTCCCCAAATTAAGCCTGAATGCCTTCCACATACCCCCCCAGGCGCTGTATAATCCTCCGGGTTTAGCGCTTCCCCCTTGATTGTAATAATAATAATAATGTGGATGAGTGGAATAAACTCCTGAGTACCGTCATAGAAGCTAAGATGTTGTGTAGTTTTAAAAATAGGTTGGATAAATACATGAGTGGGTGTGGGTAGGTGAGTTGGGCCTGACTAGCTTGTGCTAATAGGTCTGATGGATGTGACATGATCTGACTAGGTGGATCAATGGTTTAAGCTGGCAGGTGATGTGGACCTGCCTCACATGGGCCAGTAGGTCTGCTGCAGTGTTCCTTCTTTCTTATGTTCTTTGTAACTTGTCATGATTGTGACCAGACTTACCTGGAGTTCATTACCTTTGTAAATTGTGAGTTCATTACCTTTGTAAATTGTGAGTTCATTACCTTTGTAAATTGTGAGTTCATTACCTTTGTAAATTGTGAGTTCATTACCTTTGTAAATTGTGAGTTCATTACCTTTGTAAATTGTGAGTTCATTACCTCTGTAACTTGCTCAGCTATCAAAACTTTGGAGTCCAGTCCCTGGACCAATTATGTACCTCTGTAATCTTTTGACTACCGCCCACAGGATGGGGTGCATAATAAACATATTAAACTAACAACTTATGTTCTTAATGTTTTAAGCAGGATTCATACTAACATTTCAGTGATGAATAAGCTGCCTTTTTTTCTGTGTAAGTGTGTCTAAAGTAATGGTCGATGTTTCAAGGCATTTTCATTTGCAGGTATCTGGTTCATCAATCACTACATGAGCCTGGTTCCATTTCTTCATGTGGCTGGTGGTGATCTGGTGTTGTACACATGCATTATTCAGAGTGATACATTCTGATGCATAGCTGTGGTCATTTAGAAGTGTTTCTAGGTTTGATGCTGTCTCCCCAGTTTATACCATGTCACATTTGATGCTGTCTCCCCAGTTTATACTATGTCACAGCCTCCATAAGGGATTACATAAACCTATCTTGACTGACTCAAGGTTCTCCACATTGATCCTGGTGAGATCTTTGATAGGTGTACTGGTTGGTTTGGTGACTCCAGAGTTGCTTGTGCAAGTGTTTTGGAGACATTCAGGGCAGTTTGGTATTAGGAAGGTTGATAAACTTTTTCAAAGTTGTCTCACCGCGTGGAGAATTGTTGATGTGAAGGACTCATTTCTCAATAATAGATATGAAAGAAATGAACTCAAACAGTTGACATAGGTGTGTAGAATGTAATGACAGTAATTTTAATGCTGAAACCTAAGTGAATATTTGGCATGAATCTTTCTGCACACAATTTATCATACTATGTGCTGCATATATTAAGAAAGAAGTAGACTCAGTAATCTGCTGCACTACACCTGCAATGAGTGTAAAACACATATTTTACTTATTGGGGCTTAGTGAGAAGAATATCAAGTGAATGAGGCATGATGTATTATAGGTGGACTATACTGGCCATTATGCATAGAGATATAGTTCTTCAGTCAGAACAACTGTTATATTTCTTACATTTCTTTATTAGTATTTTATTAAGTTTATTTAGGTATAGGTGCACATGAGTACAATTATCATACATAGTGTAAATTACCTAGAATAGCCCAAAAAAGTCAGAGCAACTTATTTCCATTAGGGTCCTACTTATTTCCATTGCATATTTTATTTAAACAAACACTATACAGTGGAACCCCGAGTTTCGAACTTTATTCATTCCAGAAGGCTGTTCGAGTGCCGTTACCGAACGAATTTATTCCCATAAGGAATAATGTAAATTAGATTAGTCCGTTTCAGACCCCCCAAAATACACTTACAAAAGCACTTACAATAATGCACTTACATAATTGGTCGAGTTGGGAGCAGTTTGAAACTCAGGGTTCCACTGTATGTATTAAAGCATGTGTCATATGTCATATTTTTTTAGGCATTTTTTATTTTTTAATTGATTTTATCTCAAAATATATTTAGTTAAAAATTTTATTTTTAAATTTTACTGCCATATTTATAAAACAAATATGCTCTCTTACTTTTCATTGTAAACAAACAGTATTCTAAATTTTCAGGATGGTGGTGGCAGGCAGTAAAAGCAAAGACCGAGATCTTTTTTCAGTAAGTAAACATTAAATTTCTTATTTAACCCTTAAACTGTCCAAACGTAGATCTACATCCACGTGCGGGGGGCTCCGAACGTAGATCTACTTTTTTTTACATGCTTTCAGATGGGGAAAATCAAGGTCGGAGTGCTACGCACGTGAATGTAAAGCTACGTTTGGACAGTTTAAGGGTTAATGTAGTACATTGGTAAAGATCTCTGTATCCAAAATTACAAAAGGATAGTTTCAAGTATACATTTTCTATTACATTTTTAATAGGTTAAAAAAAGAAGTGATGCAAGCACTACCGATAAAAAGAGGAAGAAGCAGAACAAGAGTGAAGGCAACGTACAGAAAAAACAGAAATTGGAGGGTTTTTCAGCAGCTGAAATACACCCTTTGACTTATGAGGTAAGATGTTCCATGATTCGTTACCAGAACACACTAAAGAACCCCTGCCTGCTGATCAGTTTAAAGCACTACTTAGACATCTACTCATCACCCAAAATTAACCAGAAAAGCTGTACTTAATACTTACCATTTACTCAAAAGCAACACAAAAAAGTACCAATGATGTCTCAATTTCAATACTGAATATTGTGCTGAAGATTGCTCAACCATGTACTCGTTATTTCAAAAACAGGATGTTCAAATTTCATTGTTTCGAATACTAAATTGTAATACTTCTTATTGTAAATTGTTTAAATTGTTCTATTGTAAAACTGTAATGCTTCAAAATTGTAATGTTCAAATTTCATCATTTTAAATACTCAATTGTACTTCATATTGAAAACTGTTTAAATTGCTCTATTGTAATTTTTATAAAATAATTCAAAACTGTAGTTATTCATTACTAAACTTCTCTACTAGACCTATTAAAGCCATATAGCATTACCTATTAATACTCTAAGTCTCTGTACTCACTGTAACTCACCTAATGACCATTTAACCCCTAAACTGTCCAAACGTAGATCTACGTTCACATGCGTAATGCTCCAAACGTAGATCTATGTTTTTTTTTACATGCTTTCAAATGGAGAAAATAAAGTGTCGGAGCACTATGCACATGAATATAGATCTACATTTGGACAGTTTAAGGTTAATATGTTATAACCTAATTAATCTTAAGTTAATTTTAAGTGTGCCCGAAATACTCTGCCAAAGCATGTACACTCCAAAGCATGTACACTCAACTATTATACTGTATTCCTTTGTACAACTATGTATCGTATCAAAATAAAATATTTTTTTTTTTTTTATTATCACACCGGCCGATTCCCACCAAGGCAGGGTGGCCCGAAAAAGAAAAACTTTCACCATCATTCACTCCATCACTGTCTTGCCAGAAGGGTGCTTTACACTACAGTTTTTAAACTGCAACATTAACACCCCTCCTTCAGAGTGCAGGCACTGTACTTCCCATCTCCAGGACTCAAGTCCGGCCTGCCGGTTTCCCTGAATCCCTTCATAAATGTTACTTTGCTCACACTCCAACAGCACGTCAAGTATTAAAAACCATTTGTCTCCATTCACTCCTATCAAACACGCTCACGGGATGCTGCTGGAAGTCCAAGCCCCTCGCACACAAACCTCCTTTACCCCCTCCCTCCAACCCTTCCTAGGCCGACCCCTACCCCGCCTTCCTTCCACTACAGACTGATACACTCTTGAAGTCATTCTGTTTCGCTCCATTCTCTCTACATGTCCGAACCACCTCAACAACCCTTCCTCAGCCCTCTGGACAACAGTTTTGGTAATCCCGCACCTCCTCCTAACTTCCAAACTACGAATTCTCTGCATTATATTCACACCACACATTGCCCTCAGACATGACATCCACTGCCTCCAGCCTTCTCCTCGCTGCAACATTCATCACCCACGCTTCACACCCATATAAGAGCGTTGGTTAAAACTATACTCTCATACATTCCCCTCTTTGCCTCCAAGGACAAAGTTCTTTGTCTCCACAGACTCCTAAGTGCACCACTCTTTTTCCCTCATCAATTCTATGATTCACCTCATCTTTCATAGACCCATCCGCTGACACGTCCACTCCCAAATATCTGAATACGTTCACCTCCTCCATACTCTCTCCCTCCAATCTGATATTCAATCTTTCATCACCTAATCTTTTTGTTATCCTCATAACCTTACTCTTTCCTGTATTCACCTTTAATTTTCTTCTTTTGCACACCCTACCAAATTCATCCACCAATCTCTGCAACTTCTCTTCAGAATCTCCCAAGAGCACAGTGTCATCAGCAAAGAGCAGCTGTGACAACTCCCACTTTGTGTGTGATTCTTTATCTTTTAACTCCACGCCTCTTGCCAAGACCCTCGCATTTACTTCTCTTACAACCCCATCTATAAATATATTAAACAACCACGGTGACATCACACATCCTTGTCTAAGGCCTACTTTTACTGGGAAAAAATTTCCCTCTTTCCTACATACTCTAACTTGAGCCTCACTATCCTCGTAAAAACTCTTCACTGCTTTCAGTAACCTTACCTCCTACACCATAACACTTGCAACATCTGCCACATTGCCCCCTATCCACCCTGTCATACGCCTTTTCCAAATCCATAAATGCCACAAAGACCTCTTTAGCCTTATCTAAATACTGTTCACTTATATATTTCACTGTAAACACCTGGTCCACACACCCCCTACCTTTCCTAAAGCCTCCTTGTTCATCTGCTATCCTATTCTCCGTCTTACTCTTAATTCTTTCAATTATAACTCTACCATACACTTTACCAGGTACACTCAACAGACTTATCCCCCTATAATTTTTGCACTCTCTTTTATCCCTTTGCCTTTATACAAAGGAACTATGCATGCTCTCTGCCAATCCCTAGGTACCTTACCTCTTCCATACATTTATTAAATAATTGCACCAACCACTCCAAAACTATATCCCCACCTGCTTTTAACATTTCTATCTTTATCCCATCAATCCCGGCTGCCTTACCCCCTTTCATTTTACCTACTGCCTCACGAACTTCCCCCACACTCACAACTGGCTCTTCCTCACTCCTACAAGATGTTATTCCTCCTTGCCCTATACACGAAATCACAGCTTCCCTATCTTCATCAACATTTAACAATTCCTCAAAATATTCCTTCCATCTTCCCAATTACCTCTAACTCTCCATTTAATAACTCTCCTCTCCTATTTTTAACTGACAAATCCATTTGTTCTCTAGGCTTTCTTAACTTGTTAATCTCACTCCAAAACTTTTTCTTATTTTCAACAAAATTTGTTGATAACATCTCACCCACTCTCTCATTTGCTCTCTTTTTACATTGCTTCACCACTCTCTTAACTTCTCTCTTTTTCTCCATATACTCTTCCCTCCTTGCATCACTTCTACTTTGTAAAAACTTCTCATATGCTAACTTTTTCTCCCTTACTACTCTCTTTACATCATCATTCCACCAATCGCTCCTCTTCCCTCCTGCACCCACTTTCCTGTAACCACAAACTTCTGCTGAACACTCTAACACTACATTTTTAAACCTACCCATACCTCTTCGACCCCATTGCCTATGCTCTCATTAGCCCATCTATCCTCCAATAGCTGTTTATATCTTACCCTAACTGCCTCCTCTTTTAGTTTATAAACCTTCACCTCTCTCTTCCCTGATGCTTCTATTCTCCTTGTATCCCATCTACCTTTTACTCTCAGTGTAGCTACAACTAGAAAGTGATTGATATATCTGTGGCCCCTCTATAAACATGTACATCCTGAAGTCTACTCAACAGTCTTTTATCTACCAATACATAATCCAACAAACTACTGTCATTTTGCCCTACATCATATCGTGTATACTTATTTATCCTCTTTTTCTTAAAATATGTATTACCTATAACTAAACCCCTTTCTATACAAAGTTCAATCAAAGGGCTCCCATTATCATTTACACCTGGCACCCCAAACTTACCTACCACACCCTCTCTAAAAGTTTCTCCTACTTTAGCATTCAAGTCCCCTACCACAATTACTCTCTCACTTGGTTCAAAGGCTCCTATACATTCACTTAACATCTCCCAAATCTCTCTCTCTCCTCTGCATTCCTCTCTTCTCCAGGTGCATACACGCTTATTATGACCCACTTCTCGCATCCAACCTTTACTTTAATCCACATAATTCTTGAATTTACACATTCATATTCTCTTTTCTCCTTCCATAACTGATCATTTAACATTACTGCTACCCCTTCCTTTGCTCTAACTCTCTCAGATACTCCAGATTTAATCCCATTCATTTCCCCCCACTGAAACTCTCCTACCCCCTTCAGCTTTGTTTCGGTTAGGGCCAGGACATCCAACTTCTTTTCATTCATAACATCAGCAATCATCTGTTTCTTGTCATCCGCACTACATCCACGCACATTTAAGCAACCCAGTTTTATAAGTTTTTCTTCTTCTCTTTTTTAGTAATTGTAATACAGGAGAAGGGTTACTAGCCCATTGCTCCCGGCATTTTAGTCGCCTCATACGACATGCATGGCTTACGGAGGAAAGATTCTTTTCCACTTCCCCATGGACAATAGAAGAAATAAAAAAGAACAAGAGCTATTTAGAAAAAGGAGAAAAACCTAGATGTATGTATATATATATATGCATGTGCGTGTCTGTGAAGTGTGACCAAAGTGTAAGTAGGAGTAGCAAGATATCCCTGTTATCTTAGCGTGTTTATGAGACAGAAAAAGAAACCAGCAATCCTACCATCATGCAAAACAGTTACAGGTTTTTGTTTCACAGTCATCTGGCAGGACGGTAGTACTTCCCTGGGTGGTTGCTGTCTACCAACCTACTACGTATTATTATGATTATTATTATTATTATTATGATGATCATATTCTCAGTTTTTTTTTATACAAAGTAACATATTTACACATGACAGATGATTGCTTTGATAAAGATTTATCATGTAGGTATTACTATTTAGAGACCTGTTAACCTAGATGTCTTGTGGATAAATATGAGAATCAGCAGTCAAATGTTTATGTAATGGAAACATTAAATTTACATGCTGAATATAATGTATAACATAGATACAGTATATACTGTAAGGTATAGTGGTATTTGCTAAAATTCAGTGTTCCATTTTTTTCAGACGTTGGTAGACGGACAGGTGCTACTAGGTCGTGTGTACGAGGTTCAGGACTATAATGTTCAAATCAGTCTGCCACACAGGCTGAAGGGAACAGTGACCATTGCTCACATATCTAATGCTTACAGTGCCCTGCTCACCAAGGTAACCCCTCTGAACTATATGCAACTGTATTAAGAGTTATACAGTAAAGGCTCTTTTTTTTTTTTTTTTTTTTTTTCAAAATTAGTTTGATCCGAGAGTGTTGTGGACAGATAGAATTTATTGTATAATGGGTACAAAATAGAAGTGTAAAATAACTAACAAAAAGGCTTTGTGACTTTGTAAATGGTTCAAGTCAGACTGAAACGTCGCCTTAAGTTCTCTCCTATGTGCAGGTTATTTGGGTAGAATAACTCTTTTTATCGGTAATTACTATGTAATAACAGTATAATGTATTTAAATATATCAAAAGACACTGGCTAACTAGCAGTATGTAAACAAGATGCACGTCAAGAGAGGTGGAGCACATGGGGTACTATGGCATAAGACATTTGATTCATGATTAATGGCCCAAGAGTAGGAGCCCATAATTTTTCTGCTAATTGAGTTTTTCAGTATATACCTGGTATAACTGTTTTGCCAGAAGTGCACAGACTTCACAGTTCCAAACAACTCTCTCAGCTGCAACATCCCCACTATTCCTTTAGAGCATTGTATTTCCCACCTCCAGGACTTGAGTTTGGTTTCCCTGAATCACATTATGAATGTTACCTTATTCACACTCTATAGTGCATCAAGCCATAAAAATCACTTTCTACACTCAGCACCAAATTATTCTCATCACCTTACTTTTTCCTATGTTCACTTTTAATTTCCTTCTTTTACACACCCTTCCAGACTCATTTGCTAAATTTCTGCAACTTCTCTTCAGAATATCATACAACAGCTGCACCATTGGCAAAGAGCAGATGTGACAATTACCACCTCATAACATGTTCATTATTCTTTCTTTCAACACATCGGCCGTATCCCACCAAGGCAGGGTGGCCCAAAAGGAAAAACGAAAGTTTCTCCTTTTACATTTAGTAATATATACAGGAGAAGAGGTTACTAGCCCCTTGCTCCCGGCATTTTAGTCGCCTCTTACAACACGCATGGCTTACGGAGGAAGAATTCTATTCCACTTCCCCATGGAGATAAGAGGAAATAAACAAGAATAAGAACTAGAAAGAAAATAGAAGAAAACCCAGAGGGATGTGTGTATATATATATGCCTGTACATGTATGTGTAGTGTGACCTAAGTGTAAGTAGAAGTAGCAAGACGTACCTGAAACCTTGCATATTTATGAGACAGAAAAAAGGACACCAGCAATCCTACCATCATGTAAAACAATTACAGGCTTTCGTTTTACATTCACTTGGCAGGACGGTAGTACCTCCCTGGGCGGTTGCTGTCTGCCAATCTACTACTACCATTATGTACAATATTTATCCCACACCTCTCCCCAATGCCCTAGCATTCGCTTCTTTATTGTTTTTGTATTATTGCAGTACATGTATTTTTTAACACACCGGCCATCTCCCACCGAGGTGGGGGGTGACTTAACAAAGAAGTAACACTTTCACCGTCACTTAATCCAGTGTCTTGCCAGAGGCATGCCAACATTGCAGCTCAGATGCTCCTGCTTCAGAGTGCAGGCACTGTACATCCCACCTAAACCAGTTAACTAATTTCCTTTAATCCCTTCATAAATGTTACCTTGTTTACTCAAACAGTACATCATCATAATAACCACTTGTCTCCACTACTATTTAGCACTCACACATGCCTGTTAGATGTCCAAGCCCCTTCTACATGAAACCTCCTTTACTCCCTCCTTCCATCCATTCCTAGGATGACCTCTACCCCGCCTTCCCTCCACTACCGATTTATACCCTCCATGTCATCCTATTTCTCCAACCTCTCTGAATGACCAAACCACCTAAACAACCCCTCCTCAGCCCTCTGGATAACAATTTTAGTACTCCACACCTCCTAATTTCCAGACTACAAATTCTCTGCATAATATTTACACTACACATTGCCTTCAGACATGACATCTCCACTGCCTCCAGCTGCTGCTGCGGCTGCTGCTGCTGCGGCTGCTGCTGCTGCTGCTGCTGCTGCTGCTGCTGCTGCTGCTGCGGCTGCTGCTGCGGCTGCTGCGGCTGCTGCTGCGGCTGCTGCGGCTGCTGCTGCGGCTGCTGCTGCGTGCTGGCTGCTGCTGCTGCTGCTGCTGCTGCTGCTGCTGCTGCTGCTGCTGCTGCTGCTGCTGCTGCTGCTGCTGCTGGCTGCTGCTGCTGCTGCTGCTGCTGCTGCTGCTGCTGCTGCTGCTGCTGCTGCTGCTGCTGCTGCTGCTGCTGCTGCTGCTGCTGCTGCTGCTGCTGGCTGCTGCTGCTGCTGCTGCTGCTGCTGCTGCTGCGTTGCTGGCTGCTGCTGCTGCTGCTGCTGCGCTTGCTGCCTGCTGCTGCTGCTGCTGCTGCTGCTGCTGCTGCTTTGCTGCTGCTGCTGCTGCTGCTGCTGCTGCTGCTGCTGCTGGGTGCTGCTGCTGCTGCTGCTGCTGCTGCTGTGCTGCTGGCTGCTGCTGCTGCTGCTGCTTTCTGCTGCTGCTGCTGCTGCTGCTGCTGCTGCTGCTGCTGCTGCTGCTGCTGCTGCTGCTGCTGCTGCTGCTGCTGCTGCTGCTGCTGCTGCTGCTGCTGCTGCTGCTGCTGCTGCTGCTGCTGCTGCTGCTGCTGCTGCTGCTGCTGCTGCTGCTGTGCTGCTGCTGCTGCTGCTGCTGCTGCTGCTGCTGCTGCTGCTGCTGCTGCTGCTGCTGCTGCTGCTGCTGCTGCTGCTTGCTGCTGCTGTGCTGCTGCTGCTGCTGCTGCTGCTGCTGCTGCTGCTGCTGCTGCTGCTGCTGCTGCTGCTGCGCTGCTGCTGCTGCTGCTGTGCTGCTGCTGCTGCTGTGCTGCTGCTGCTGCTGTGCTTGCTGCCTTGCTGCTATGCTGCTGCTGCTCTATGCTCTTCGTCTGCTGTGCTGCTGCTAGTATTGCTTCTTCTTCTTTCTTCTTCTTCGTTTTCTTCTTTTGCTGCTATGCAATGCAACAGGAAAGTTTTTAAAACAGTTGTAATGATAATGATGCATGTAAGATATTTACTAAATCTTCAGGTCAAAGAAAATGATGATGACTGTGAAGAGAGAGTGCACTTGCTGCAGGAACTCTTCAAGCCAGGCCAGTATGTAGTTGCCCGAGTGCTACACGTTGAAGATGTTAACAACAAATTTAGAGGTTAGTCACAGCTGATAAATTATCTGAACATTTCAGTTTGGAATACTCAACATTAAATTTTTCTACCTTGAAGATTGGAAGTTTTCTGGAGTTCATTGACTAGTGTAAGTAAATTTAATAAAATATAATACTGTACATGAGTAACCTGCATGTAGGAGAAAGGAGCTTATGACAATGTTTTGGTCCTACTTGGACCATTTACAGAGTTGAACTGAAACATTGTCATAAGCTTCTTTCTCTTATGTGTGGGTTATTTGTGTGTTATTCCAGTCTGTATTGTGCCTTTTTGTTCTTTATGATGCTGCATTGTACATAGTTTTGTATCAAATTTAATGGTTAATGTACTATTTCAGTGAATCTGACATTGGCTCCCCAAGAAGTCAACTTTGCGGTCCATGTATCACAACTTGAGGTTGGCTTTGTCTTGTCTTGTGCTGTGTCAAGTGTAGAAGATAATGGGTTTGTTATGGATACTGGTATTTCTGGTGTTAGAGCAGCTTTTTTGAAGGACACAGCAACAGATGGTGCAGGTAAAGTACTGTAAATGCATGCCCTCATTTCCAGCCAAAGAATAAATTTCATAAATTCATATTTTCCAGCATATAAGGTGTACTTTTCCCCCACAAAAAGCCTTGGAAAAATCGGCTTGTGCCTTGTATGCTCAAGGTCAGGGTGAAGGGTAGGCTTTGGGTTATGTTTTAGCAGTTGTTTATTAACGTTACATTACAACTGCTTGGAAACATCATGCCAGCAAGCAGCAGACACTCGTGCGCCATATATGCTGGAAAATTTGGTGAGTGGTTTTTAACCCGTAAACGGTCCAAACGTATATATACATTTTTTAAAAATTTGAAAGTATGTAAAAAAAAGATCTTCTTTTTGTTTTTTTACATTTGAAAATGTATAAAAAAAACTTTGATCTACTTTTTTTTTTTTTTGTTATATTTGAAAATATGTAAAAAACATAGATCTACTTTTGTAGCACTACACATGTGAACATAGATCTGCTTGGACCATTTACGGGTTAATGTCCAGTGAACTTTTTTTTCTTCTCAAAAATGTAAGGTGGATGCCACTCTTAATATGTTGAAAGAAACCCAGTTGTGAAAGAAATTTCTTAAGAATTTGCATTTCAGTTATGGAATGTGCAGTAATTCAGTCTTATTCCTAGAAACTACTCCATTGAAAATTTTTATTGCTGATATCTTTTTACCTAAATTTTTTTTATTTCTTTTTTTTATCATTTTCTTGAGCATTAGATTTACTGAAAAAACATTCAATATACATGTACAGTGGACCCCCGATATTCGATGGCATCGGTATTCGATAAATCCAGTATTCGATGCATTATATCGCAAAAATTTTGCCCCGGTATCCAATCGAAAACCCGGTATTCGATACGATTCGTACGAGATGTGTCCACGTGTGGCCTGAACTGCCCCGTGTGTGCCAGTGTTTACAAGCCAGCCAGTGTGCGCGCATCTAAGGATACATTCGGTACATTCTATATTATCCATATTATCACTGTTTTTGGTGCTTGTTTCTGCAAAATAAGTCACCATGGGCTACAAGAAAGCTTCTAGTGCCAACCCTGTGGTAAAAAGGGTGAGAATTAGTATGGAAATTAAGAAAGATTTTGAAGGGTTTGGGGCTAACCCTGAGAAGCCTATGCCAGTTGTGGAATCCATTGTGCCTACTTCAAAGATTAAGGAAATGTGTGCAAAGTGGGTTGAACTGAAAACCTTTATGGATGAAAATCACCCTAACACAGCTATTGCAAGCCGTGCTGGTGACTATTACAATGACAATGTTGTGGTCCATTTTAGACAAATCTTAAAGGAACGGGAGGTACAGGCCACTATGGACAGATATGTTTTGCGACAGAAATCCTGTGACTCAAGCTGGTCCTAGTGACATTAAAAGAAGAAGGGAAGTAACCCCAGAAAAGGACTTGCTACCTCAAGTCCTAATGGAAGGGGATTCCCCTTCTAAACACTAACACCTCTCCCCTCCTCCCATCCCATCAATCATCACCAGATCTTCATTAAAGGTAAGTGTCAATTATTTTATTGTTATTGTAATTATTCTATTGCATTAAACTTAATACTTCATGTAGTAAAAAAAAAATTTCATACTTTTGGGTGTCTTGCACGGATTAATTTGATTTCCATTATTTCTTATGAGGAAAATTGATTCGCTTTTCGATATTTTCGGTATTCGATGAGCTCTCAGGAACGGATTAATATCGAATGCCGGGGGTCCACTGTATTTATATTTTCATTTTGATTCTTTGAGCATCAGTATAATTTATCATTATGAAATATTAATACGTACTAACTTCCTATCTCAATAATTTAGGAGAAATGCAAGAGTCAACCTTGCAACTACTAGATGTCTGTCAAACTACCATTTGCAGTCTTGTGAATTTTCTTGGGTTACAGGGTGTTGGGTAAAAAGGGGTAGGAATGATGAGACCTCCAGTTCCAGTACATTTGAACTTGTTCCTGACTATTTTCAGCATGGGATCTGGTATAAACCTTGGTAATAAATACCGACAAGTTGGTTTAGAAAGACACATAAGCAAACATTATGACATATTTATTAGAAAATGTTTCAGTCCTGGGACCTTGATCACTTCTAACATACAGAGGTAGAAAGACATTATATGTAGGTGGAGAGTGAGGTGTGAGTGACGCATCGTGACCTGAAGAATGCCATGTTGGGATGAGGACGGGTAGACAATGAGATCATGTGACTCCTGTGTTGTTGGGTTGGTGGTGCTAAGCCTGCTTAAGTATCATGTATGCTAATGTTTTTGAAATTTTGTGGTTTCCAGTGTTACGTTCTGTTGTGTCGGTGACAGCGATTAGTGAGGCTTCTAGGCACCGTCGGCGTCTGAGGCCTGGTTCAGTGAGAATGAGTTGTGCCTCATTCCAGTTCATCAAATGCCCCGTGGAATCTCTGTGGAGGACACAGGCGTACCTTAAATCGTCTCTGTCGATGGTGTAGATACCTGCTGTAGAAGTTAGAGGTGTAGGGCTGCATTTTGTAGTGAGGTCTTTGATAGATGATGTGTGTATGGTGGGAATGTTGATGTTTCTCATAGCAAGTGCCAAAAATCAGAACAAGGCAAAATACTACTTAAACTTTTACCAGGTCAACCGAAACCAGCACACCTGTATGACCTTCCTAAGACACACAAGCCTGGCATCCCACTACATCCTATCACTTCGGGCATAGGGAGTGCACCACACAGACTAGCCAGCCACCTTGCCAAATACCTTTCAGCACTTCTGGGCACTATCAGTCAAGCCCACCTCAAACACTCAGGTGACCTACTCTCCCAAATTTCCAACATGACTGTTAAAAACAAAAGCATGGCTTCCTTCGATGTCACAGCCCTCTTTACCAACGTTCCTACTGATGCTGCAGTAAACATTCTGAGACAGAGGCTCACTGAAAACCATGACCTTCCTTTACCTCTTCTAGATTTCATCAGTCTAGTGGATCTTTGTGTTAATTTCAACTTCGTCAAGTATCAGGACAACTGTTACAAACAGTGCTTTGGGATGGCAATGGGCAGCCCGCTCAGTGCTGTGCTTGCCAACCTCTTCATGGAAAACCTAGAGACAGAGAAATTCAGCACCCTCATTCCCAACACCGTTACCTGGCTAAGATACATTGATGATATATTGGTTTTCTATCCGAGATGTCTCAATATCCAGGCCCTTCTCAACAAGATCAATGCAGCTGAACCATCAATACAGTTTACACTTGAACTCAAAAATGATGGCAAACTTCCTTTCCTCGACGTTCTCCTGTGCAGATCTCCCGACAGTAACAAACTTCTCTTCAAAGTGTATAGAAAATCTACCAACAAGGATGATCTTATACACTTTTACTCACACCAAGACACCCGCACTAAAGGAGGAGCCCTCATTGGCTTTTTCTTGAGAGCTCTTTGCATCTCCATCCCTTGTTTTCTTGAAGAAGAATGTATTTACATAACACAAGCCTTTACACGTCTTCAGTTCCTATCTTTCTTCAGCCGAGATTGCAGACTCAAGGCACAAGCTATCCTCAACGAACCGCCCATGGAACACCCCTCTAAGCAGTTCATAGTGCTCCCATGTGGTGATGTTGCCACGAATACTCGCCGGACACTTGCTGTGAGTAACATCAACATTTCCACCATAAACACATCATCTATCAAAGATCTTATACAAAACGCAGCCCCACACCTCTAACTTCTACAGCAGGCGTCTACACTATCCCCTGTGGATTCTGTCCCAAGAAATATGTAGGTGAGACAGGCAGAGATCTTGCGGTCCTCCTGAATAAGCATCGAAGTGCCTGTAACAGAGACGATTTAACCCTTTGACTGTTTCGGTCGTATATATACATCTTACGTGCCACTGTTTCTGACGTATTTATACGCGTAAATTCTAGCGGCTTCAAATCGAGCAGGAGAAAGCTGGTAGGCCCACATGTGAGAGAATGGGTCTGTGTGGTCAGTGTGCACCACATAAAAAAAATCCTGCAGCACGCAGTGCGTAATGAGAAAAAAAAAGTCTGTTTTTTTGGATTAAAACGCTGACTTTGAGGTGTATTTTTGTATAGTATTTATTGTTGTATTCCTTTTCATGGTCTAGTGAAAAAAATGGAAAACTATAAGAAAAGAGTGTTTTGATTATTTCTGATGAAAAAAAACCCTTAAATTAGCTAAAAATTAGTGGAAATGTTCGTTTTTTTCCAATGTTCAGGATAAGAAATCACCCCCACAACCCAATACACTTTTACTGGGGATCTAATATTCTTTCACTAGTGATGATATTTTTATCCCTTTTTTGAAAATAATGCGTAGTTGAAAACGTAATTTTTTTTTTTTTTTTTTCTCAAAAGGTCGGCCGTCTCCCACGAGGGGGGGTGACCCAAAAAAGAAAGAAAACAATTTTTTTCTTATTCTTTTAGTAATTTTTACGGAAAAAGGGGGGTTCTCCCCATTTTTTCCCGGCATTTAGTTGATTTTAAACCGCTGGCTTACGGAGGAAAGATTTTTATTCCACTTCCCCATGGATTAAAAGGAAAAGTAAAAAGAAAAGAATATTAGAAAAAATCAAAAAAAACTCAGATGATTTGTATAAATAAATGTGTACATGTATGTGTAGTGTGCCTGTGAAAGAAAATTTGAAAAGAATGCCTGTATCTTGCAATTTATAGACGACAAAAGCATCAGCAATCTCCATCATGTAAAACAATCACGGGCTTTCTTTTTACACTCACTTGGGCAGGAGGGTAGTCCTCCCTGGGGGGTTTGCTTCTACCAACCTTACCTATGAATAAAAAATCAAAATAGAAAGCAATAGAGTATAAGAGGGCCTAAGACGTGATAATGAAAAAGGAATGTTATTTTAGTGCCAAAAATGCTACTTTTGTTTTTTGGCCCCCTATTTTTGAAATTTGGGCATTTTTTTTTAATTTGCATAAAATTTGGGCCCAAATTGCCAATTTCTGCCCACTTGATTGGGTAGTTCAATCGGTAAAGGGCGTTTCTTTCCCAACTGATAGAAAGAAGGGAGTTCTAAAGAATAGCTTGATTTTGGTAACTGGAAAAATGGAATTGGCCAAAAACAGGGCTCAAAATCGCCGATGGTATATGTCACCGAGATCGCTAATTGGGGAGTGTAATTCCGTGAATTTTCGACCAAGTTTCATACTTTTGGGTGTCATTTCCATCGGGAAAAGATTCTCTTCCCTTCATAAAAAAAAATAATTTTTTTTTTTTTTCCCAAAAAAAACGACATAGAAGAGTTTTAGAAAAGGGCCGCAAAAGTCAAAGGATTAAGGTATGCCTGTGTCCCCCCAGAAACTCCCGGGGCATTTGATGAACTGGAATGAGGGACAATGTTCTCACCGAACCAACCCCGACGCCGGGTGCCTAGAAGCCTCCTAATTGCCGTCACTGACACAATAGAACAACACTGGGAAACCCAAAATTTCAAAAAAATTAGCATAAAAATACTTAACCCTTTGAGGGTTTTGGCGTACGTGGTCCCCAATAACACCGGCTGAAAGTCGACCATTTCGGAATCAACCCCGGTTTTTTTCGACAAAAAAATTGATCGGAAATTTACCGAAATTCGTTTTTCCCCGTCTCGACCCCTTTCCCAGACCGTATGCCGAGGTAAGCGGGGCCCCAACCCGCCCCAGCCTTCCTTCCCCGCCGGTGGGTATGTTTTCCGTTAGCGGGGGTCCCTCACGTGCTCCAGGAAATATTTCATAATTTTCTTTATTTTTAGGGTTTTTCAAGTTATTTTAAATGCTAAATAAGCTACCATGGCTCCAAAGAAAACTCCTTGCCCAAAAAATTTGGAAAGAAAGGGGAGAAAACCCCTTGAATTTTTAAAAAAAAAACCTCATTGAACAATATAAGTGGCGTACTGTGGGCAAACTGGGGGAGGATGTTTAACAAAAATCATTCAACCAAAATCTTTCCCATAGCCTGAGAAAGGAAATCAAGGCGCTGTTGTTGCAAAAAGGGGGGGAAATCTGACAAAAAAGAGATCACCAGACTGGAAAAGGGTTTGGAATTTTATTGGGGGGGATAAATGAGAAAAAAATTACAGGGGACAGTTTATGTCCCATTATTTTGTGAAAAAGGGTAGGCAGTTGCTGATTCCCTTTTCGTTTGATTTTATTTTGGCACTGGGGGGGGTTTCCTGGGGTTGGATGTGGGGTTTTTGGGGTGTGGAAGAGTTTGGGGGAGGATCACAAAGAAGAGCTAACCCCCGAGGGGCTTTCAAGAGCTTCGCAGGAAGAGCACAGATTTCAGTCAGAAACTTTCTTTCAGAGGAGGGGGAAAGAGATGGAAGAAGGTGCCTTCTTCAGAAATTAAGGAGATTTTTATTTTTGGGGGAAGATGGGAAAAAATTATGGAGAAACATCACCCAGAGAAGGAGTTGCAAGAATATCGGCAACTTGTACAGTGACAGAGTCTTGGCCCATTTTGGGGAAGTTTTAAAGAGACGCCAGAAACAAGCTCCTCTCTGCCAATTATTTTGCGAGACAGGACTCCAGTGACTCTCAAGCTGGTCCTAGTGGGATTAAGAAACAGAGAAAAGAAGCAACCCCAGAAAGCAAATGGTACCTGAGGTGTTGCTGGAAGGGGATTCCCCTTCCAAACTATAAACAATCCACTCTCTCCTCCTCCTCCAGTCTCCCATACACTAAGAAGAATCTCCAATAAAGGTAAGTGTTATGCTGTTAATGTTTCATTCATCATTTCCCATTGTATTGTTTATGTACTACATGAATATTTCATGTAAAAAATTTTTTTGTTTTAATACTTCTGGGTGTCAGGAACGGATTAATTGAATTTACATTATTTCTTATGGGAAAATTGATTCGTAAATCGACCATTTCGATAATCGACCGGCTTCCAGGAACGGATTACCGTCGATAATCGAGGGACCACTGTACAGTACGGCTTACGACCCATGTTTTTTGACGTACTAGTACGCCTAAATTCTAGCGCCCTCAAATCTAGTGGGAGAAAGCTGGTAGGCCTCCATATGAAAGAATGGGTCTATGTGGTCAGTCTTTACCTGGAGTTTACCTGGAGAGAGTTTCGGGGGTCAACGCCCCCGCGGCCCGGTCTGTGACCAGGCCTCCTGGTGGATCAGCGCCTGATCAACCAGGCTGTTGCTGCTGGCTGCACGCAAACCAACGTACGAGCCACAGCCCGGCTGATCAGGAACTGACTTTAGGTGCTTGTCCAGTGCCAGCTTGAAGACTGCCGGGGGTCTGTTGGTAATCCCCTTATGTGTGCTGGGAGGCAGTTGAACAGTCCTCGGGCCCCTGCACTTATTGTATGGTCTCTTAACGTGCTAGTGACACCCCTGCTTTTCATTGGGGGCATGGTGCATCGTCTGCCAAGTCTTTTGCTTTCGTAGTGAGTGATTTTCGTGTGCAATTTGGGTACTAGTCCCTCTAGGATTTTCCAGGTGTATATAATCATGTATCTCTCCCTCCTGCGTTCCAGGGAATACGGGTTTTAGAAACCTCAAGCGCTCCCAGTAATTAGGTGTTTTATCTCCGTTATGCGCGCCGTGAAAGTTCTCTGTACATTTTCTAGGTCGGCAATTTCACCTGCCTTGAAAGGTGCTGTTAGAGTGCAGCAATATTCCAGCCTAGATAGAACAAGTGACCTGAAGAGTGTCATCATGGGCTTGGCCTCCCTAGTTTTGAAGGTTCTCATTATCCATCCTGTCATTTTTCTAGCAGATGCGATTGATACAATGTTATGGTCTTTGAAGTGAGATCCTCCGACATAATCACTCCCAGGTCTTTGACGTTGGTGTTTCGCTCTATTTTTGTGACCAGAATTTGTTTTGTACTCTGATGAAGATTTAATTTCCTCATGTTTACCATATCTGAGTAATTGAAATTTCTCATCGTTGAACTTCATATTGTTTTCTGCAGCCCACTGAAAGATTTGGTTGATGTCCGCCTGGAGCCTTGCAGTGTCTGCAATGGAAGACACTGTCATGCAGATTCGGGTGTCATCTGCAAAGGAAGACACGGTGCTGTGGCTGACATCCTTGTCTATGTCGGATATGAGGATGAGGAACAAGATGGCAGCTAGTACTGTGCCTTGTGGAACAGAGCTTTTCACCGTAGCTGCAGCACACAGTGCATAATGAGAAAAAAAAATCTTATTGTGGCTAGCTGGTCTAGTGGCTAACGCGACGGGCTGGAGTTTTGAGACTCTATGACCACGGGTTCAATCCCGGCCGGGGGTATGGTTTGGTTTGACCGTTTTTTTGGAATAAAACAGCGACTTTGCACTGTATTTTCGTATGGTATTTATTGTTGTATTCTAGTTTTCTTGGTCTCATTTTATAGAATGGAAGGCATTTCACAGAAATTGAAATGATTTTGACTGGTTTTACAATGAAAAGTACCTTGAAATTGAGCTCAAATTAGCAGAAATGTTCGATTTTTACCAAAGTTCAAAAGTAAACAAATCATTCCAAGCGTCCAATACACGTCAACTGGTGAGTCTAATATTCTTTTGCAAGTGCGCCAATATGATTCATACCATTTTTTACACTAATGCAGTAGTCTGCATAACAGTAAATCTATTTTTTGTGAGAATAAAAATTCAAAGTGGAAAGCAAAAGAATGTAAGAGGGGCCTTGAGACGTGACTAATGAACAGAGGAAATGTCATTTTAGCGCCAGGAATGTATTTCTTGTTTGTTCTGGACCAGGAGGCCTGGTCACAGACCGGGCCGCGGGGGCGTTGACCCCCGGAACTCTCTCCAAGTAAGGTAAGGTATTCGGAAATTGGCATCTTTTGAAATTTGTGTGAAATTGGCAAAATTGCTAAATTCTTACCACTGTACTGGATAGTTGGAAATTGAAAATGGGTGGTTTCTTGCACTCATTCAATAGAAAAAATGGAAGTTCTAGCGAAATATTCGTGTTTTTTTGTCGGACTAGTACAGTGGAACTGGCTGAAAATGGGGCTCAAAGTGGGCAAAATCGCCGATCCTAAACATCCCCGAGACCGTAACTTTGCGAGAGCATAATTCCGTAGTTTTCCATCAGATTTCTATTTTTGGTGGCATTAGGGATCGGGAAAAGATTCTCTATCTTTTCAAAGAAAAACTTATTTTTTTTTTTTTTAAATTTGGCCAAACCCTGAGAACGAGCCCTTGGGAGGGCCTGTCGACCCTCAAAGGGTTAAGCAGGTAAGCACCACCAACCCAACAAGACAGGAGTCACATGATCTCATCATCTACCCTTTTCCTTTTCCCCAACATATTCTTCAAGTCAACATGCATCACTCACATGCACTCTCCGCCTATATATAATGTCTTTCTACCTCTGTATGTTAGAAGTGATCAGGGGTCCCAGGACTGAAACGTTTTCTAATATGTCATAGTGTTTGTTTACATGTCTTTCAAAAACCAGCATGGGATCTATTAAATTTTTTTATTATTATTATTAACACTGGCCGATTCCCACCAAGGCAGGGTGGCCCGAAAAAGAAAAACTTTCCCCCATCATTCACTCCATCACTGTCTTGCCAGAAGGGTGCTTTACACTACAGTTTTTAAACTGCAACATTAACACCCCTCCTTCAGAGAGTTATTAATTGTAATTACTTATGTTGCTAATGATAGTTATATCAGTATGTTTGTGATAGTTATTTAATTCTAATTACTTATGCTGCTATGAAAGTAATATCAGTAATATTGTGTGCAAAATTGCAACTGTTATTATACCTTCGTTAACATGTTCATCTCCAGGAATTGTTGGAGTGGGTAGTATTGTTCGCTGCATTGTAACCCACATTACGAGAAGTGATGATACATACACACGACTGCAGCTCAGTGCTAATGCAGAAGCTGTCAGGAAGGCCACTCTCAGTATCACTGATACAACTAACCTGTCTCTTCTACTGCCAGGCACTGCAATTAACACTTCTATATCAAAGGTATGTTGACCATATGGTATGGTAGTCTAGTTACTTATTTGTGATTGCTAAGGTTTTGAGTCACAGCTCCTCTGTGCATGTGTGCGTGTGCACATGCATGCATTGTGGTAGTTTTCTACAGTGGTCAGTAATCCTACTACTGTTCAGTGATCCTCTGTTCTTTTGTTATTGGATTTAGAGATTTATCTTTATTAACCCTTTGAGGGTTTTGGTTGTACTAGTACGTCTTACGAGTAGGGGTTTTTGACGTACTAGTACTCATAAATTCTAGCGGCCTCAAATCTAGTGGGAGAAAGCTGGTAGGCCTTCATATGAAAGAATGGGTCTATGTGGTCAGTGTGCACAGTCTAAAAAAATCCTGCAGCACACAGTGCATAATGAGAAAAAAAAAACTTTGACCATTTTTTTTTTAATAAATCAGCGACTTTGCAGTGTATTTTTGTATGGTATTTATTGTTGTATTCTAGTTTTCTTGGTCTCATTTTATAGAATGGAAGACATATTACAGAAATTGAGATGATTTTGACTGGTTTTACAATGAAAAGTGCCTTGAAATTGAGCTCAAAGTAGCAGAAATGTTCGATTTTTACCAAACTTCAAAAGTAAACAAATCGTGCCAAGCGTGCAATACACGTCAACTGGTGAGTCTAATATTCTTTCACAAGTGCACCAAAAATATTTATACCATTTTTTACACTAATGCAGTAGTCTGCATAACAGTAAATCTTATATATTTTTGTGAAAATAAAAATTCAAAGTGGAAAGCAAAAGAATATAAGAGGGGCCTTGAGACGTGACTAATGACTAGAGGAAATGTCTTTTTTGTGCCAGGAATGTCTTTCTTGTTTATTCTGGACCCTATTCGGAAATTGGCATCTTTTAAAATTTGTGTGAAAATTGGCAAAATTGCTAAATTCTGACCACTGTACGGATAGTTGAATTTCTTTAAGGGGTGGTTTCTTGCACCCATTTGATAGAAAAAATGGAGTTCTAGCGAAATATTCATGTTTTTTGTCGACTATACAGTGAAATTGGCCGAAAATGGGGCTCAAAGTGGGCAAAATCGCCGATGCGTAAACATCGCCGAGACCGCTAACTTTGCGAGAGCATAATTCCGTAAGTTTTCTATCAAATTTCAAACTTTTGGTGTCTTTATGATCGGGAAAAGATTCTCTATCTTTTCATAAGAGAAAATAATTTTTTTTTTTTTTTTAAATTTGGCCGACCCTGAGAACGAGTTTCGGAGAGGGCCTGTCGACCCTCAAAGGGTTAAGAGCATGACAATCCTCAATATGGTAACTCCAACATAACACCAGGTGTATTAGAGATTAATTTTCATTTTATTTCACCTGTTTATGTAACGGTCCGTATGCCTTTATCCAAAATTCTGAAATTTGAAAAGTTCTGAAAACTGAAGATTTTTCGTGGAGGTGTATAAGTAGTAGGTTGGTAGACAGCAACCACCCAGGGAGGTACTACCGTCCTGCCAAGTGAGTGTAAACGAAGCCTGTAATTGTTTTACATGATGGTAGGATTGCTGGTGTCTTTTGTCTGTCTCATAAATATGCAAGATTGCAGGTATGGGCTTGCTACTTCTACTTAAAACTTAGGTCACACTACACATACATGTACACATTTATTTATACACACTCATCTGAGTTTTCTTTGATTTTAATCTTAATAGTTCTTGGTCTTAAATTTCTTTTTCTTTTATATCCATGGGAAGTGGAATAAGAATCTTTCCTCCGTAAGCTATGCGTGTTGTAAAAGCAACTAAAATGCCTGGAAACTATAGGCTAGTAACCCCGATTCCTGTAAGAATTACTAAAAAAGATAAGAAAAACTTGTCAAAGTGGGAAGTCTGAATGTGTCGTGGTGTTGAAAGATGATAGTGGATGTTATGAATGAGAGATGCTGGGATTGTCCTGGCTTTAAGTGAAACAAAGCTGAGGGGTGGGGAGAGTCTTTCAAATGGAGAGGAATAAATGTGGATTCGTCAGGGGTTTTACCATAGAGTTAGAGTAAAGAAGGGAGTAGCAATATGTTGTAGGGAATATGCTATGGGAGGAAAAGAGGGACTATATTAATGTAATAATTCAAGGATCTATTGTGGAGTTAAAATAAAGATTGGATTGAAAAGTGGGGTTATAATAGCGTGTTTGCACCCTGGAGAAGAGAGTAGTGTAGAGGAGAGAGAGAGATTTGGGAAATCTTGAGGTGAATGTGTGGGGGAGTTTGACATCATAGTGTGAGAGTAATGGTGGTTGGGGGATTTTTCAATGCTAAGTGGGTTAAAAATGTTATGGAGGGTGTCATCAGTTAGGTAATAATTTGGGGGTGCCAGGGGTAAATGTAAATGGGGAGAGCTTTAATTGAGCTATGTGTTAGAAAGAGATTTGATAATAGGATTGCATACTTTTTTACGAGGCATAGTGAAGGCTCAAGTTAGAGTATGTAGGAAAGAGGAAAATTATTTCCCAGTTAAAAGTAGAGGCCTTAGACAAGGATGTGTGATGTCCACCGTGGTTGTTTAATATATTTATAGATGTGGTTGTAAGAGAAGTAAAATGTAGAGGGTCTGGCAAGAGGCGTGGAGTTAAAGAAGAATAAAGAATCTCACACAAAAGTGGGAGTTGTCACAGCTGCTCTTTGCTTTGGGAGATTCTGAGAGGAAGTTGCAGAGGATTGGTGGATGAATTTGTTAGATTAGATTTTGCCACCGAAGTGGCTAGTTTTATTGTGCTCCCATATCCTTCCTGTGGACGTTAGCGCTGTAGAGCATATGGATACACTAAAGGCCTAGGAACTAGGCCCAAAGGGTTAACAGTATAACTTAATGGATTTATATTACATATCTTTAGTTCACTTATCTGGTTTCAAGCAAATTTAGGAAAATTTGCTTAGTATATCTGGTATCTTCTTTTCATTAATAAGATATCTTTGACATGTCACATTGGTTTATTATACTGTCTGTCTCATGTATTCCTCAATAAGTGGACAATTATGACATAGTGTTCAGAGAGTGACCATATGCCTGATCACATAATTTACATTTAGTTTGATCATCACTGTGTGTCTTCCCATAAAACTGCCAGAAGTACTTGTACAACCTAAGCTGGCCATAACATCAGTCAGTCTGTTCACATTGCAAGTTGCTCCATAAAACATACTATCTACGTTTTCTTGTTATCATAGTGGGTTTATAGATTACTCAGGCTTCTAACTGCATTCCTATAACAAGTCATTTTCATTATTTACTTCTTCCTAATATTATTTAATCTAGGACACGTTATACCAAGTTATTTTCTCATTCTCCTTCTCGGATATCTTCTGGCTAAAAATATCAACTTTATCATGAAGGAGTAATCCAATGTGTGTTGGGAATCCTATTAGAATTGGACATTAATTCCTTTGTCACTAATTTTTGAGTATCTTTACCTGGCTTCCCCAATGGCATGTTGTTGGAGTCATTATTTGAGCCAAGAGCCTTCAATGATGACATAGGAATCTGTTAATGATGATAGAGTCAAGTCAGTGTCATAGGTTAGCTTTAGAGCCATTAGGATTGCAAACAATTCAGTTTGCAGTGTTCGACGCCAAGTTGTTAATTCTTATGATAACTCTACAAATTTATTATAGTTTTTAACTAGGGAGGTGGCAACAAGAGCAGATGCAGCCCTGCCAGGATGAACTCCTGTTTAGATTTTTGGTAGGGTGTGCAAAAGAAGAAAATTAAAAGGTGAATAAAGGAAAGTGTAAAGGTTAGAGATAACAAAAAAGATTAGGTGATGAAAGGATTGGAATATCAGATTGGAGGGAGAGAGTATGGAGGACGTGATGTCATTTTTTTTCAGATAACATTTGGGAGTGGGAGTGTCTGGGAATGGGGGTCCTATGAAAGATGAGGTGAATTCATAGTATTGATGAGGGGGGAAAAGAGTGAGTGGTGCACTTAAGGGTCTGTGGGAGACAAAGCAACTTTGTCCTTGAGGCAAAGAGGGGGAATGTATGAAAGGTATAAGTTTTACCAACGCTCTTTATATGGGTGTGACGCAGGGTGATGAATGTTGCAGCGTGGGAGAGAAGGCTTGAGGCATGGTGATGTTCATGTCTGAGGGCATGTGTGGTGTGAATATAATGCAGGGAATTCGTATAGTTTGGAAATTAGGAGGTGTGCGGGATTACCAAAACTGTTGTCCAGAGGGCTGATAGGATGGGTGTGAGGTGGTTCGACATGCTATAGAGCAGACTGGAGCGAAAACAGAAGACTTCAAGCGTGTATCTGTTCTTGTAGTGGAAGGAAGGTTGGGGTAGGGGGTCGGCCTAGGAGGAAAGGTTGGAGAGAGGGGGGTAATAAGGAGGTCATTTTGTTACCCCCCCACCCCCACCCCCCCCCCCCCCCCCCCCCCCCCCCCCCCCCCCCCCCCCCCCCCCCCCCCCCGTGGTGCGAGGGGCTCTGCACTTCCAGCAGATGCGTGGCGTGTTTGATTAGCAGTGATTGGAGACAAAATGGGGGGGGGTTTTTTTTTTTTATACTTGACGTGCTGTTGGAGTGTGAGCAAAGTAACATTTAATCAAAGGGTCAAGGGAAACGGCAGGCGGACTTGAGTCCTGGAGAGGGGAAGTACAGTGCCTGCAACTCTGAAGGATGGGGTGTTATGTTGCTGTTTAAAAAACTGTAGCTGTAATAACGCAACCTTCTGCAAGACCAGTGATCGAAAAGTGATGATGGTGAAGTTTTCTATTTCGGGCCTACCCTGCCTTGGTGGGATCGGTCAGTGTGTAATAAAAAAAAAAAATAATTTTTTTTTGAAAAAGAGGATAAATAAATATACAAAGTATGATGTTGTAGACGTAATGAAAGTAGTTTATTAGATTATTGTATTGGTGGATAATTAAAGTTTGTTGGGGAGGCTCCAGGATGTACATGTTTATGAGGGCAACTGATATATCGGATCATGATTTAGTTGTAGCTACAGTTTTAGAGTAAGGAGGTAGAGGGGAAAAAG